CACACACCCCACACCCACTGACACCCACACCATACACCCCACACCCATTGACATCCACACCACACACTCCACTCACACCCACACCACGCACTCCACTCACACCCACACCACACACTCCACTCACATCCACACCACTTCCATCCGTTATCAGTATATTTATTTTTGCAGATGCAAAGGCCTTTAGTTGAAAGCATCGGTTTCTTTTACGATTGTTTCAGAAAATTACTTGACTGAAACTCAGATGGAAGTAGATTGGCAAGTTTCATTCAACGAAAAAACTAAAATTTTTGGTGTTTATCATCCATAAATTCTGATTTATACCAATAATATCGTTTGAAATTTACTTAATAGTTAGAATTTCACATGCTGAGATATTATCTGTCAGAGTTATGCAATCGTTGTCAAACTGAAAATTAAAATCTCTTTCAACTGCATCCGTCTGTAGAGATGTCACGGTTTCCGTTTCTAAGGAACGAGAACCTGATTGAAAATTCGTTTCCACGCGTTTTTGATCCTCTTAAGAGATCTTGATATACCTATTCTTTCAATTCGAATCAAGTTAGGGTGGGTTGCCGGGCTCCTAGGAACAGGAACCCGAAGCTGACACCCCTATCCGTTTATGGGGTGTGGGCGTGGATTAAGAGAAGATGTGCATGCACACGCACATGCATGTCCACCTGCTCACATCAGCAGCGACATCCTAACTGGTAAAAGCTATATGACTTGTTGAAAAAAGAAATCATAATGCTTGTAGAAATATTTTGAATAAAGGTCTTTTTTTAATTTAGTATCCACGTTAAATTGTATTTATTGAATATCCAAACAAATTTTCAAAAATGCAATGTGTTTAACAAAAATTTATAAGCTTCTCAATCGTATTATCAATCGAAAATTAATGTAATTCTTTTAGACTTTCAAGTTTATTTCATCTGCATTCGCAAACAACCAGTAGCTGCATAATCTTCAATTGTTTCAACACCATATTCATGTTGAACTAATTGATTCAGGGTGGATGTGGGTGAATATGGAGCCAGACTGATTTTATTTATGCTTACACATACATCCACACCCTCTTCTACCTAGGCATGGACGTTTTTCCTGCCAATTGATTTCTCTGAAAAGAAGAAAACAGGCTGAAATGAAATATCTCATTCCATGTAATGCATTGATAAAATCATGTTTGTTGTGGTTCGTTGATTGTTGACATTGCTTAGTTGATTGTGTGAAACACTTTAGAACATATTGTACATTAAAAGAGAAAAATATCACTGGACTCTTCTTTTTAAACATGTAGCAAGAAAACAAGATGAAACAGTACCGGTATCATTCATCTTTAACAGCAGAACAGAAGAATAGCAACAGTAATGGAAGGAAAATACTACAAAAATATGTACTGCTATGCAACAATGCTTTCCCGTATGAATGTGGCAGTGTAGCATTATCAGCTTGCAACAAATCATTTGCAAGCATAAACTCAACCAGAGCTCGAGCGAATCTTTTTGCATAAAACTGTCGATCGAACCCGTCTCTCACTACATAGGATAGCTCGGCTTGTATAGCATTGATACGAGAAATATAATTTTTTGTGATATAACCACCACTATAAAAAGTCTTATTGCCAGGTTTTGGATTGTTTACTGAAGGATAAGCAATACCGAGCTCGTTTGATTCCAAAAAAGTACCAAATGCTTTTGAACCTTGAACACATTCGCTCCGATTCTGAGAGCAAGATGATTGAATAAGTAATTCGATCGAAGTCGGAGATAACTTGTCATGATTGAGTTGAGCTCCGGTTAGCAGAGTTCCGACCATTGTATAACTGAATACAAAAAAACCGGAAAGCTGAATTATCAAATACAATCTACCTACTTTCCTTGTGCATGTTGATGAACATCGAGAAGTAAACCTTGGCCATGAAATTTTCTCTCAATGGTAGCAATGGCTTCTTCTAAATAATCATGATAACTACGGTACGATTTAATCGCTTCCAGATGATTGAAAGTCGCTTCATTCATTTCCCGATTAAAATCAATCTTCTTGCGATTCCATTTGGCGACAACAAGAAATGGTATAATAGCATACGTTTGATTTAATTGATCGGCTACATCTTCGGCGAATCGATCATCCATTGCAAAGTCTTGTACTGTAGTAACTGGACAACGCACACCGTCGTCACATGGATCATCAAATTGAAATGAACATACAGTTGAGTTTGCTCGTCGACAACCACCTATCGTACGATCGGGCACATCTTCTGGCATGTCACTGCCAGCATGAGGCGATGAAAGAATTATATTTGCAGTGGTATAACTAGACAGAATGGATTTAGATGAATTTCGATATCTTTCAATGTAAAGATGAGGATTGATTGCAGCAGTTAAAATAAACAAAGAAAAATAGACGACAGTGTGTATGAGAACCCACATTGTGTTGTTGCTTGATGCAAACGAGCGCAAAATTGAAGTAGTTTGATACTCGTTGTTGATCTTTCTATCTTATCATTCTCTTTCTCTCTTTTGCTCATGCCTTTAAATTGTGATGTGTTTTAAAAGCCACTAGTATGAGAGCTTCTCTCATTTGATTCTTTTTTTTTTCGCTCTTTCCAACGTGAGAAAATCGTATATCCACGAACAAGACAATACCAAAGGAATCATATGCAATCGAGATATGACAAGTTCCTCGTATCATATTATCAATCTTCTCATCAATCACATCTTTCAAAACGTTGTTTTGTTGATTGATTTAAGTCGTAAAAACAACGAAAACATACGATTTTTAGAAGAAAGGATAGAATTGCGAAAATAATCGAACGACCCCATTAACAAAAGTTTCCACTATGCTGAATCACTTTGCGATTATTTCAGAGTAATGGCAATGTGAAGTTTATTGAATTCTTATCGAAAAGCTGTCGTAAATAGAACCAGACACAATAGTGAATTTTATATTCGACTTCCACTAAACAAAATCTTCAAATCCAGTTTCGATTCGGTGCTAACTTTGTTTCCTGTTTATCCTAACTGGCTTGTATCAGACGAATAATTGATGTTCAATTATTTCTCCTTCAACAATTGTTATTCAAAGCGAATTCATCTTTTTTTCTGCACAGTAAAAACTGGAACTGCATTTCGATCGTAATCGAGAGGGTAGAGCGAATTTATTAATTAGGTATTTTTATCAGAATCTGACAAAAAAACAATCAATCGAAAAAATTAAAATTCTCTTATCCCTTCGGTCAAAAACTCGAACAAATATAAATAGTTGACACATGATGTAAAGTAAGTTTTTTTATTTTATGCCATTTGCAAGATGAAATTCTTTATTAGATGATTTACAATTCATGAAATTTTTAATCATTAAGAAGTAGATCGATGTAAAGAATTATGACTTTGAATTTACAAGTTTAAAAAATATGGTGACTCTTTTGAGAATATGTCTAAGATAATTCAGTTGTTTGATACTATTCAATCGATAAGACGAGCGAACACATTTTGTCACAATATATTTTTACGACGTTCGTACAGAATCATTTCAATTGAAATTTATCAACAGAACCATATAAATGGTAAATCTCTATTGATGAAAGAACCTGCAAGAATTCAGAGACTAAACATATGATAAGGAATCGTTTTGTATTCAGTAATAAAATTCAGTTGTAATTCATTTGATTTCATTGTTTCTGCCTACAAACTTAGTGTTTTTGTTTTGGTTACTTCTTTGCTTACATTTTTTTTCTCTTGCCACGTGCGATTCTTATCGATAGAATGTGTCGTTAAAGATGCAACACGAAGTAAAAACGAAAAAAGGGATAAGACACATTCGTAGCGACAGCAACAAAAAAGAATCGAACAATGACTTTTATACATAAAAAATAACGTAATAAAACCGAATACCATGTGTGGGTATAAGTTTCTGGGTTTAATATTCCTTGTTGATTGTGATCAGTACTAAATATATGATTATGATCGACTGGGAAAGAAGGAATCGATCTATCATACAAAGGCCCACGAATGATCTCGAAAAATAAGGAAAGTCGAAGGAGTAGTAGTTTATGATGGGTGTGAGTGAAGGATTGGTTTTGGGCGTGCATGTGGGTGCGGGATGTGGATTCTATGTGGGTGTGGTTGAAATGGTGAGGTACATACATCGACTCTTAGTTTGACGAAAAATAAAATATATTGATTAAGCGGGAGCCATAATCGAATTGATGGAAGGCATGACTATTAGAAAGAGAGAGATCTTTCTATCTCAGTCTTATATTGACTAAAATATAGCACTGAAATGATCTTTTCAATGTTCACTTCGAATTTAGAAAAAGCATACGATTCTTTTCTCTTTTGCCAGACAATATCATCATCATGTTCAACGTCATTTCAGCTCCAATTCGTCTAGAATCGTTTTTCGGGTCACGTTTAAGACGTATCTATTGCTCATACTTTGAGCAATAGAATTTTCTCGACTTGATATTTCTACTATATCGCAAAGAATGTTTAAGGCCTCCGCCCCTAAAAAAAATAACTCAATTTTCGTCAGTATTTTCGAAATTGAGATAAATGTATGGAGAGATAGCCCGTCTTCAGGTCTCTCAGAAATGATATAATTTTTTCCCAACACCTCTTCTTTGGTGAAAAATTTTGATGATTTCTGTAATCAGCTGCTCAAAAACGATTTTTCCAGAAAAAAATGGATTTTGAGGTTTTTATATGAAAAATCAGCACTTTAATGGAATGTACAGACGTTTTAGCAAGTTTTATGAATTGTTATAGAAAAATCGAAGTTCATACAGCAAAAAATGAGAAATTGAATAACTGATACACAAGAAAAAATCTTTATTTAAAAAACTAAGATATAACAAAAAAAATTACATAGAAAGATTCTTTAATAAATTGTTACTTATTCTTCTTCTTCTTTCCACCTTCTTTTGTCTCTTGGATTATAGTAACCATCTTCGTCATCACTACTGCCATCATTGGTTTCGAGAATTTCATTTGTTCTTGTATCAGGATTAAGAAGTGTTTCTTCCTTGTCCATATGATTTGTTTCACCATCACTATCATTAGATGATTCAGCACTACTTTATGTTGTATCATTATCATCGTAATATGTTCATCATTATCAGTAATTGTTTCATTATCTTGAGTTGTTGGTTGATCAACCGGATTTGTTTGATGATAATCATCATCCGTTTGTTCATCACCATCTGTTGTTTTATCATCATTACCGGGTGCATTATTGCTATTATTTGTTTGATCATTATCAACATTTTCCTGTACATCACGACCAGCTTCTTTGCTTGTTTTTCTATTATTTGTTTTTGATTCTGAGTTGAGAAGACTGTTGTCTAAGTGAATCATTGCTTGATCGGTATAATAACCACGACAATCACACATGTTGTTGAAAAGATCTGTGAAAAATCAAAACAAATTATTAGTTTATATGTATCAAGCATTTTAATTATAATTAAAGAAACTTGCGACAATATTTGTACCTTCTTACCTAATGCAAAATATCCACCATTAAATATTACTATTGCAAGATGGCAAGCAATTTCAAATGTTGTCCCAGATGTTGTTTTGTGTTTTGGTGGCATAAACCAGACAAGCGAATGAAAGCCGTCGTTTGGATTCTGACCTGATGCATCGACCACTCGTGCAAGACTTTCCCGAGAGCTAATGTTGTCAAAAACAGGTTTGATTGCATCAAGGACAGGACGAGGTAAAGCATGTGGTTTATGGCCATATGATGTTCCATCACGAGCAGCTTTTAAATAACCACACCAATCGATTCTGCAAGAATCATGACAAGGATCATCATTGGTCGAATATTTATGCCAAAATATAGCCCACGATCGTTTTCATAACAAATCCAGATCGTGTTTGCATTTTCGGATGGTGGAGGCAAATGCTATTTGGAACCGAATGATATTTTCACCTAATACTAAAAAAATACAGATTTCCGGTTTGGTTCGTTTTCAAATTTTTTTCTGTCTAACAAGACTTATTGGAAAGACGGTTTTTACCACTAATAGTTTTACCATCAGATAATTTTTTTCGTCCATATTCATGTTTTTTTGTTTTTAGTTGACGTTTCATTCTTTTGCTAAAATGATTCAGGTCTTCAATTTTCATGATCACTTTTCCTAAAAAGACAAAACTGTTGATGGTGTTTCAATACTAAACGCAATATTTTTTTGAAATAAAATAAACTATATTATACCTGGATATGATATTGTTTTCAAAAGAATAGTAAATGTTTTTGAATCATCATCATCAACATATTTTGTATCATAAATTCCATATTTAGAAACTGATCGTTTGAACATGTTAAGAATAGCATCAGCTTCTATTGTACCGGAACTTTTGTTGTAGTTTTATTCACACCGACGTGATCCAATAATATCATTATATTTAGCTGGATTAGATTTCTTAATAGCAAGTGCACCTTTTTAAAAAAAGATCTGATCATGAAAACAAAAAAAAAACAACTTACCCATGCAAACATTACAGGTTTCACTACACGTTTCAATATCAAGTACTTTTGGTGTTGTGTTACAAGAAAGAACCGACTGCAACAGGTCTGCTTTGAAAACCTCGAGTTTGCCAAAATCCATCTCCACTAATCATTAATTCTGTATCATTTTTGGCAGTCACAGCTTTTTCAACAGCTTTTTTCATTGACCGATTCGACAATGATTTTACTAAAACGTATAAATCTTTATCCCATTTGGAATATCTTTCATCTTGAATTGGATTCTGTAAATTCATAGCATCCATTAATTTTACTAATCCAGCATATCTAATACCACATAAAATCCTACCAATTTGTGAAGGAACATTAATCTCTCGACGACTTGATGCAACAACCTGTGGACTTGTTTTTGAACAAATTAGAAAGAAATGTTGCATGCATTAATAATATTCAAAGCTTCGATAATTGGAGGTAGTTACTTACCAATGGTGATTGTATTTTTACACGATGAACATTGAAACGATAAGATTACAAATAAACCTTCACGTTTGTTGATATTAATTGTTCCACTCCAACGATTTCTGCTACCTTCACAATTCGTCTTGCACATAAGAATAAATAACATTTGATTCTGCAAGATTGTGTATCCATCCATAGGCACATTTGAATTTGAATTTGCTGATGTTGATGTTATATCCAATTTTATTCTTTTCTTAATCTTCTGCTGTGACGGTAAGGACGAACGTTTTGAAGCTGTGAGTGGGTGTGGGTATGGGTATGGTGGAACCAGAGATCAACACCCACATTCTGCACCTACCCACACCCACAACGAAAATCGATAGAACTTGGAAGCAGTATTCCGACCGAAAAGTTTTTCGATTTTTTCCGATGACTTGCGGTCAAATTTCTGTTCTTTTCGGTGGTAAACGGTCAAAAAGTATCGGAAAACATCCGGAGCCTCTACGATCGTAATACTGCTTCCAAGTTTAATCGATTTTCTGTGGTTTCTTTGCCAGATACTATTGATTCTTCATCATGTTTTCGACCGGTTCCAATGAAATCCTATGGTTTCCAGAAATCAAAATTGACAATCACATAAAACTATTTCAAGCACTTTTTTAAATTGGTCACGATAATCATCAAAGATCAGATGAAGATGAACATTGAAGATCAATGTTGATAATCATGAACAATATATGGGTAATCAACAGAAATTATAGTTAGTCATCATAGGTATATGATTTGCTGCAGTTTTCTTTCTCTTTTTTTCTTCATTTCTTGTCTTGTACTATTTTCTTATCTATGATTTGACCTATTTGTTGATTTGATTTAAACAGTATTATTGCGTAGTTGGAAAGAGAAGATAACATTATATCATCTCTATGAAATACATCTAATTGGATACTTAATTATATAGGTTTTTCTCTTCTCATTATTTAAAATTTTTATTTAGTGACGTGCTTCATTAATTACTCTCACTTCATCAGACTATTTTTGATATAAAATGGCATATATGATAAAATAACACGCACATTTTTGAATCTGCACATATTCATTACATTCTTTCTTTCTTTTCTTGATAATGGAATGAAGAAGAAAGGGGTACTAGACATAGGTTTTCTTTTTGGATTTTCCTTCGTTCATTCCACTATCAAGTGAATAGAGAGAGTGTGTGTAAGTGTATATATATAAAATAATGTACGTGTCATTTTACACCAAAAATGGTCTGATGAAGTGAGCATCGCTGACAAAACATCATTGAATATATCTCTTCAATAACAGGAAGAGAAAAATCTATATAAATGTCTAATTATAAGTGTTCTTCCTTACAAGGCAAGATTTCAAAGTACATCTTATTATATAGTTGTAAATAGAAGAAGTGACCTACTTTTTCCTCATCTTCTTCTTCTTGTTTTTCTTTTCCTCTCTTCTCTTACTTAAATTCTTTCATTTTATCTAAATAAATTATTATCATTTATCTTGACAAATCAAACGTTTTTCCAGATCATACATATGATTATAACAATATATGAATAAATTTAAAATTACACTAAAGTATTATTGAAATGTAAGTAACAATCATAAGAGTAGAAAAAGGATTTCTTTCAACTGCGAATTTATAATCATGTTTTAATCAAGCAGCATAATTGATAGTAAAGATTAAATAACGAAAATTTTGTTTGCTTTTCTTCTCTAGCATACTCTAGTAATTTGACTCCTACTTTCTGTGTTTTTAGATAAACATGTAAAACATGATTCAATATTTGAATCTTTGACTAATATTAGAGTTAGAGAAAAGAACTGTTTTATATTCAATTCGTAGCGGATGTGAACGGAGTGTGCCTGTGAATATTGATAAAGAGTAGAATCTGTGTTTTAGTATTTGTGAATTTGGATGCTATTCTTGTTCTATGGTAGTATCACCATGAAAAAAGTTAAAATAAGCACCGTTAAAAATAAAAAATAATAGAAAAGTGACTAATCACGATGATAACTACTGAGTATCGGACAAATCACTTCTCTTGTTGATAGAATAGAAAATTCTTGTAAGACTTGTAAATGACCGAACAGTATAAAAGACTGCGGATTTTTTAATGTTTTCGCTCATTAATTGAAGAAGAAACCTTTGGTGAAGTTCATGATAATTACAAAAATATACTGAAATCCATTTGTTACAAATGTTTGCTTCATAACATCTGAGCTTGAGCTTGGCGTGCATTGAGTACAAATCTTCTATAATTTTGAATTTGAGAATAATTTTGGACAGAAAAAAACAGTAGATAGGATGCTCGTAAAATCCGATTAGGCAGACATTCGAGGAATATACTTTTTTTTAATTATCTTGCCAGAAGATCTGTTCGAGAAAAAGATTCACGAGACAGTCTTTTCGATGACAAGTAAAATTCACAAAATAATACCACTAGTACATCCTACATTGCTGTAATCAATACTTATTTTCATTCGTGACGAATTAAAATGGAATTGTCAAACTTTTCTACGCCGACAATGGGCTAGCTTTCTAATGAAACCATAGTAAAAAAATAGGCGACATGCCCATTTTTGCAACAGATTGTTAAGAGCTTTGAGATTCTTAACAAAAGTTCAGTTTTATTAAACAAGAATTAATAAACTAATTATCTCATGTGACTAATCTTAAAATTCTAGTAGTAATTGCTAACAACAAACTATATCTGGAAATATCCAGAGTTGCTCTTCTACTTTGTTAGTCACTTCGTTTGTCATGACAAATTAGTTAAAGCAAGAGAAATATCGTGCTCGAATATTTTGAACTACGAAGGCGTATGTGAACGATAGTTTTCTATGTATTAAATACACGAAACAGGGAATAGAACGCGTTGGGATTGTCTGACAAAATGAGCCGTAAGTTCCAGAAGTTTCTAATATTGTATATATGTGGTCTTTACAATAAAGTAACTTGATTCGATACAGGTCTAATTACAACTAGCTAATGAACAGTCATGTATTAGATAGTAAGCACTCATTCTGATTAGGTTTGACTAAAGTTTAATTGATTTTTGAAAAGTATCTCAGAAAAAAATGAAAAAAAAGCTGTTCAAGAACTATTTGCATTTATTTTTCCTAGCGTTCGTTTGGAACACTCTGTATTTAGGAGTGTAGAGCATTCTTTCTTATTTGGCTTTAATTGTTGACGTTAAAAATGTAACACTTCGAACAACTTTCTTGAGTCTAATGTGCATCATATGAACAAAGAATTTTTGAATTTGTATTTCTTTACTGTTATTTTACGCATATGTTTTCCAAAAGAAATCATTAAAAGAGACTCGTTCATGTACTTCGAAGTGCAAGTATTTGTTATTTCGAAAGAAAAATATTCCCAGCTCAATGTTGAAGTTTTTCATAATTAAATCAGTTATCAATATGATAACCGTAGGTTATGTATATTGTCAAAGACAAAAATGGTAGATGCAAACTAATAATTATTTATAGTCATATTTTTCATTTGAATGATAATTTGAACAGAAAATAAACGTAACAAGAACACTTCCCATTGTTGCAGTCTTCTCTGAAGATTGTACTTGATACATTCATCTATGTTTATATGACTTTTTTGAGAAAATATTATTTCTATTTTTCTGTTCTCATCATTTTCTTGCATTCAAATGTATTTTAACAAGAGTTCTCGCATGACATGACCTTTTTGCGTTTGAAGAAAGCTACCATAAAATAATGATGACAATTTATTATGACGTATAACATTTTTATAGAATAACAATTGCATATCAATCTATCAATAATAAGATGAATTCTACAACGGATGATGCTTTTCTCCATCAGCTTCAATCAATACCTCAGACTCTTTATAATACTATTGGCTTTGTACTTTTTATCTTCGGAACGTTTGGAAATCTACTTGATATTATATGTTTCTTTCGTCTGAAAAGTTTAAATACGTTATCCAGTTCATTATTCTTACTGGCTTCTTTCTTTGGCAGTGAACTTGTATTAATTACTGGGCTTCTTCAGCGTTTTATTTTTGGAATTACTGGTAACGATCTTCTATTTGGTTCATTATTCATCTGTAAAGCTCGTTCGATGCTTAAACCAGCGAGTGCAACATTTTCAATGACTTGTGTATGTTTTGCTGCTACGGATCGATACTTCTTTTCATGTCTTGATTTACGTCGTCAACGATGGATTACACTTCAACAAACTCGTTTGATCATTACTATGACGGTTATCTTATGTCTTATTCTTTTCTCCCCGTATGCTATATTTTACACACTATCAACTCCAACATCTTGTTCGATTGTTAATTCAATCTTTGCTTATATTCAACCTTGCTTAAGTTTGATATTCTACAATTTGGCACCGGTCATTATTCTGAGTACTATCTGTGTATTAACATGGCGAAATTTAGGACAACAAGTAGCTTTTTATTTAAGAGGAAATGATCGTTGCTATGATCAAGTCACTCGACTCATTATTGGCCAAATTATTGTCATTATTTTCACTACTTTCCCGATTGTCATCTGGCTAATTTACTCGATTGCAACAAAAAAAATATCCAAGAATTCAGTACGTCTTGCACAAGAGGCTATCATTAGCTCTGCATGTGGAATTGTGGCACATTGTCCATATGCAATAATGTTCTACATCTATCTGATTATATCGCCCGTATTTCGACGAAACGTAAAATGCTTGTTCTTACAAACTCATCAAATTTCACCATTGAAGAACGTGGAGCTCGTCAGAAACTCCATTTTACGACAAGAACCAAGGCATATGATCTCTACTATTTAAGATGAGTCACCAAAAGACTACTGTAATTTGCTTAATTATATTTTTTTCATGTCATTGTTTTCTGTTTCATTTATCATAAAATATAATGTTGCGTCGTGTCCAATTCAAATTGTACAATGCTTCATAATAATCTCAATGCAAAAGATCGTTTTCT